TCTTCATGTGATGTTCCTGGGTATACGGAGGAGTAGAATAATGCACTGTATGGACTGAATAGAACTAAAGTGATAAAAAATTATTTGTGTTAATAAAAATGGATAAACTTCACATTTTTTCATTGGGTTAGTTATTTTTGTATTGAACCTGAAGTTTCATGGAAATGTTAACAAGACCTAAATAATAATAATGATAAAAACAACAACTATTATAATAATCATTGTCGTCGTCATCTCAGGGACAAAAATTGACAAAAATGTGGATGTTTTTTTATTTGTTAAATATACAGAAAAGGTAATAATTATGAAATTTGATACAACAAGAACATTTTTGTCTAACCAAACTGTTTTAGAAATCATTTTTCTGTTTTTGTTAAAGAAAGAGAAAACACCTTGTATGATTGTTGCTGTATTTATTTTTATTAACTTTTATTTAGCCAGGAAAACCCCACTGAGATCACAGATCTCTTTTGCAAACAAGGCCTGGGCCTGAAGGTGTTGTAATTTGGTGCAGTGGTTGAACCCAGATGCAGGGAGGACTCTGAGACCCAGTAGGCAAACATGAAAATACTAATTAACACAAACAAAAGAGCTGTTGTGGCAGCTAAACTCATTTGACCAGGAAACATGTAGAGAAACACTAAGAGCTGATGAGACATCACCAGACAATGACCAGGCAATAAATAACAGATGAACGCAGACATATATACAGACACTGATGAGACATAAACACACACACACTTGGGAAGGACCGCAGGTGACACAGGGAAGGGCTAATTATCAGAAGGGACACTAGGAAATGCGAGGGAAGGACACACCACAAGAGGGCACCATCCTCACAGTCCCCCCCCCCCCCAAAAAAAAAAAAAAAAAAAAAACTGACAGGGTGGAACCTGGGAACTACACACAAGAAAAGTAAACATTAAAAAGTCCAGTAGGTGGTCAGAGAGCCATCCAACACGGGACTGCATCTCAAAGGAACGGCCGGGAGACCATCCATCGCCAAGAAGAAGCTCCGGCGGTTGGCCGGGAGACCATCCAACATGTGGCATCAGTTCAGGTGGGCAACAAGGAGACCATCCAACACGTGGCATCAGTTCAGGTGGGTGGCCAGGAGACCGTGCGACATGTGGTATCAGCTCAGGTGGAGAGCCAATGGAGATGGACACCGTGATAGGCACAGAGCATGCATCATGCGAGAAGACAAACGGAGGAACCAGGAGCTCTGCAGCTGGTATAGAGAACTGGGGGGCTGCAGCTGTTGTTGAGACCAGGGAGGCTGCAGTTTTCGTTGAGACCATGGAGACTCCAGCTGTCATTGAGACCTCAGGAACCATAGCTGTTAAGGAGACCTCAGGGGTAGGAGGAGGTGTAGCCATATCAGGGGACATAGCTACTTCAGGGGACTTAACCACTTTGGGAGGAACCACTTTGGCCAGGATTGCCTCAAACTAGTTAGAGAGTTTGAGAAAACAGCAAGGAAAAGGGCAGACTACAGGAATCACTTGCGATTCAACCTCAGATGTCGACAAAGTGGCATCATTCCCAAGAGCCTGGAACTAAAATCTTCAGTCAGTGGGCACCGGGCAAGCAAGATCCTTCAGAAGGCACAGACCCAGCTGCTGAATGAACAGGTGAGATAGACCAATTTTACTATTGAGGCCTTTGAAGGCCAAAGAAGAGCACATTAAACAAAAACTAACTATGTGTCTAGATCAGACCACACTTCAGCAAGTGATGGATTGTACAGATCAGGCACGCTTAGCACAGCATGTCAAGTCCAAGACTCGACAACAAAACAAGTTTAAATTACTAATAACTCATCAACACCATCACTATTCCAATAACAACACATTCAGTGTAAGCCAACACTCCAGTAGACGATTACATGCCAGGGAGACAGAAAATGGGGTGAAGAATTTATCTGACAGACAGCTCACCCAGCCAGAGACAGAGATTCTTGCCAGGGGACTGAACTTTGCGATTGCACCAAGTAGAATTCCTCTGGTGGAGATGATCACAGCTACTGAGTCAGCCATCCGCAACAACAAAATTAAAGAGGGTGAAGCAGAACAACTCAGAATCAAAGTTTCAGCCTGCCTCAGCAATGCCAAACCACCACCTTCCAACATCAGTAGAGAGGAGAGGGATGCACTCGCCACTCTTAGCAAGGACAAAAACATCATCATTCTCCCAGCAGACAAAGGAAGGTGCACAGTGATTTTGAACCAGAAAGACTATCATGAGAGTTATGACACTCCTTAGTGACTTAACCACTTATGAACCTCTGAAAAGAGATCCAGGAAGTGGTTACAAGAAGAAGTTAATAGATTGCCTGAAAAATTTGGAACAGGACAAAGCTATTGACTGTTTTCTGTACCACAGACTGTACCCAGGGGAGGCCACACCTAGTCTGTACGATTTACCTAAAATCCACAAACAAGGTGTACCTTTAAGACCAATCGTTAGCATGATTAACTCTGTCACTTACAATGTTTCCAAATATCTGGCGTCTGTACTCATCCCTTTAGTTGGCAGCTCAGAACACCACATACAGAAAACCATGGACTTTGTGGATAAGGTGAGGGATGTCATCATGGAGACTGATGAAACAATGGTCTCTTTTGATGTCACATCACTGTTTACGTGCATTCCTGTTGATGATGCAGTAGAGGTGGTCAGTTTAAAATTAAAATCAGACACCACTCTGAGCAGCAGGACCAC